TTTACGTCATACCTTACCCTCCTTTCTTACTTCGCGAATACCACATTTAGCACAGGTTCTGAGAGTGCCGCTAAATTCCATGACCAAAAGATAAATTTCCAAAATATTCCTCAACGAAACCTAAACAAATCTTTTCTCTCTTCAAGGTTTTCCGATCGACAAAGGCAGACAATATCTTSGCCCTCAAAACTTACCATGGTCAGATTCTCAATGCGAGACTGTCTCCCTCAAACCCTACATYTTTTATCCTAACAAACCTTTACACGTGYAGCTGACTGTGAATTATGTAAACTCCTCGCAGTCATCCAAGGTACACGAAGCAACAGTCACGTGGACWGAGAACGTGAACACGAATAACTTCACGATGTGCGTGATGCGGACCGGTAGGGATGATAATCCATCGAATGAYATTGCATCGGTTGACTGGATAGGATATCAAGGAGCGCCGAACGGTGGTGTTACYGGAAGAAAACGCTTTACAAAATGGTGGACTGGTACAACCTGTAGAACTRTTTCTTTGCCAAGTGTAAGTATTACTTGACAGTAATCCTCTTACTGGACCWTGTAGTTATCTCACCGACTCTTGTAGATTCTACTTGGTGTTTGCATATGAAGSTTTTTGACCCTGACATCTTTCACRGGGYATGCGCTTCTCTCAKTGATTACTGACCAGGTAGACCAAAAGCTCCTGGTAACGCGATGCATTCAGACCTACCAATAGTTGTATTTTCATTCGGACCATAGAAAACCCACTGTAACATTCCTCTGGTTTATGACATAAACTGATTTCCAAATGAYTTTACAGGGTAAGTTTACTGGTGCTCCAACGGTCCTGGCTACTCTTCAGCATCAAAGAAGTGGTTTRAAACACGATGCTGCCAGTGTTTGGGTGGAAGATATCAGTGCTTCTTCYTTTCAAGTTTGTCTGAGAGAACTGCAAAACTTTGATGGCGTCCATGAAGAAATAGMTGTGGTAGGTACCTTGCAATAGTCATACAGTTAACCAGACCTCAATCTTGGCCAAACCGGTTCACGATTTAGAGAGGATCTGGGGAAATTTTTTGTCATGACTAATTGGTTTTAATGCAGTTGTTTTTGTGTGCAGGACTGAATGGCATTCGAGACTTTGCATCGCCCATTGTTTTCTGCTCACGGTAGTGTTAACTTTGCAAATGATTACACTCCATTGGAATCGGATAACTTCGCCTTCTGCAAGGTATATAAACAATTATTAATGTCTAACACTAGTTTCCTATTGTTTGTTTTTATTGATAATTTTTTTTTTCCTTAGAGTGTTCAGTTGACCAAGAATTACACCAGGAATCCACTGGTCATGGTCACCGCAACTCACCGCACAGGTTCTGGACGTAARAACCCACAATGCAATGGGATCTCCTCCTGGATTGAGGTAAACTACCTTGGATTATATAAATACAGGAATGAACAAGGCGAAGAAGAAAGAGGCGAAAGCAAAAAAAAAAAAGGATGAAAGAATGAACGAAAAAAAGGAAAGAGTGAAGAAACACGAAAATAAACAAGAATGAATGATAGCGTAATATGTGCGATACAACATTAAAAACATAACTATTTTTTAGGAAATCACATCTGACAGCTTTAGAGTCTGCATCAAGGAGCTGTATGTTGATCAGTTTGATCCAGTAACTGTCCAGTATGTCGTGCTATCAGGTATTCTTACCAAAAACCCCTTGCTATGGAGCGTTTTCACCTGATGTCACAGCGGCCATCATGGTGTACCAAAACAATACATTTTCTATTCTCCGGGAATTGAACTCTATTTTATGCAAAATCTGTGCAGAAAGTTTCTGTTGTTTGGCACACCAATATGGCTGCCCTGTCACGTGAATGAAAACGCTTTTCGATCAAAGTAGCGTTAGTTTGTTTAATAAATGCTATACCAAATAACGCAAATAAAGATTGAACATTCTTAGAGAAGAGACGTTATTTCCATCTTTTTTAACACATTGAATTAACAAGATCAGTGTTCATTTCGACGGCAAACATTCCTAAGAGGGGAGGGGATAACTAGAGTTTCAATGAGGAATCCCGTTGAACATTCCTAGCTACACTTGTGTGCAACACCTTTGAAATATTTTTGGACGTTTCCAGCCATTCATGTTTGACAGACTTCTTTAAAAAAGAAGTGAAGGATAACGCAAAGATTTTAAGTTCCATAATTTAACTATTTTTGAAAAAGACAGGTTGGTGTACCCTACAATCAATGTTAGTATTTCACACCTTTATTATTGATTATAAATAGATGTGTGCGGAGAAGGCTGGACCTACTTCAATGGTTTCTGCTACATGACGAGCTCGTCTTGTGAGTCATGGCAGGCAGCACGGTCAAGTTGTCTAGATGTGAAAGCTAACCTCACCAGCATCATGAACAAAGAAGAGAATAYCTATGTTCAACATCGACACGGCGGCGACACTGGATGGATTGGACTGCAGGATATTTGGAGCGAAGGAAACTTTTCCTGGATTGACGGGGCTCGAGTGAACTTCACTTACTGGGCRCCAAACCAGCCAAATGGTTACCAGAGCGACCAGGATTGTGTTCATACTCTAGGGCTGGGGCATGGGTATCAGTGGAATGACGTCACTTGCGCGGCCTGTCACACTTATACCTGCAAAAAAGGTAACTGGACATAGCAATTACTTGGTTTCGTTTGACGTCATTTTTTT